GGGGATTAACCGACATTATAAAATTGCATGCTACCGTAAAAGCAAAACCTCCCGTAACGTCGCTTGCATTATTCCAATCCCAGGACTTTTGCCAGTTGCCGTCACGATCCATCGCGGAGGATTAGAGTTTCCTGGTTAATCCGTGCCCGTAAACCTTAATTGAATATCCACTTAACTTTAAGCTAAAAGTTGGATGTCGAATCCCTTAAAGCGGACGTCGAGGCAAGGCGATGAATTCGCGAGCCACCCTTCGTGGATGCCTATTTTGCGGGAAAAAGTCGAATTATTTTCCGAAAGCGTTTCGATTCGAATTCATTGGGGATTTTCTGTGAATGGAAATCTCGCTCCCGTAGACGAGGGGGTCGAAACGACGTTCAAATCGCACCGTTCCAATGGTCGCAATAAACGGAGTCGCTCTAGCCAATCAATTTGCTCGGAAACGTTGTTCATGTGTGAACAAACACTTAAATCTGTCCATTTTGATTGAAATCCGGATGAAAGTCCACCGGCGATCCCATAATGCGACTCGCCTATGTCCGGATTATGCGATATATCCGGGAAGTGATTCAGATTTTATAGACTACTCTGCAGGACGACCTGCAGCGATGATTCGCGGGTAACTGGCCTGATGAAGTGTGTTACACTCCCGCCCGTAAATTCCCTGTTTCAATGACCCTGCGAACGGCGTCATTGGTGTCATTTCGAAAACGTTAATTGCGGAAGTTACGTCAAAACGAAGATATTCCGGGAGATGGATGTCCATCGACAGGGAGGCAATTTTCGGTAAGAGGCCCGCAGTGGCTCTCGAGAGGACCGAATCGAGGTTCGTCCTGGTTACCATTTTCTCTCGTTGAACCTCTTTTCCGGCTTCGTGCACGTCCTCTGCCTCGTAATATCTAATTTCTTTTCTATCCCGGTGCGTTCTCTCGTGCAATTGCCGCGAATACGTAAAGAGCGCGCTCGCTCACTCGGCTCGTTCTTTTGATACCGATGAAAGAAGAAGTAGGTTAATCCGGGGCGGGTTAATCCGCGGTTAACCGGCCTGTGATCGAGTGCGAGCTGCAAACCATGCGGAGAATCGCGGGTCGAATAATATTCTCGAAAATACAAGGATAGTCCTTGGGATCATTTATGTGAAAATAGGCTTCCACGTTCCATCGACTTGTATGTATCGATAAATCCACCCACGCCTTTAGTCCGCGCCAAAAGCGGTCTTAAATGTATCGGAAGGAGAAGAAAGGCCGGAAATGGCCCGGGAAGGATGTTTCAAGGCCCGAGTGCCCCGATCGAATCGCTCGATCGTGTGTACGGACCTTAATGGACCGAGTGATTAAGGATTTAGACTAATGCCGCGGGTACTTAAAGCTTCTCTTTTCGATCCCATTTCCTGGGTTTTCAGTCTATAGAGTACTTTCAATTGAACCACCGTGACGCATGGATAAGTGCAACTTGAGTATGCCAAGCGTAAGGCGTTTTAGAGGACGTAATATCTAAAAGGGCACTTAAATTTCAAAATTTCGTTGCAATTGCTGCGCGCTGCCCAGTTCGTCATATTTCCGAACAACGAAAAAGCTCGCTGGGGTGTGGGCGGAAAGTTTAGAGACGAGCTGGAGGGCACGGGATGAGACAAATTCCGGGGAACTCGACTGCAGTGCGCCTCATAAAATCCATATTTAGTGGAACAGTGGCGCACTCATTGGACACGATCCGCCGTAAATCGTAACGCGACGTCCCTTACGCGCCATTCCGAAACCAATATCGCACTGCATCGCGCTCCGTATTCCTCCCAACTGGTATTGAAATTGGCAGAGCCTAGTACCTAATTCCGAGTCCGGTAGATACCGCTCCTCCAGAAACCGTATCTGTTTTCGTTTTATTCCGACGTTCCGTTTTTCATGCACGGTACCGTCGAATTCAATGCTCAATAGAACCAGAGATGTTTCTGCGTCCGTGCAGGCATTCGTAGATCATATTAAAAAATATAATTGGCCATTTATTCGCGTCCCGTGGTACTTTGTACCACAGAATATTCCATCCTCCATCTTCGTCTCGCTTTTTCCTCCAAGCCCTCGTTCGCTCTCCAGAAGGACTCGGAAGTTCCAGCAAGGATGCTTCCGATTTTTCTTACCGGTTGGACGAGAATCATCGATCATTCGGTGATTCGACGTGGCGGATCCGGCACTCTCGGGTTGAATGGTCCATGGCCGCGTCATAAAAGATGATCATACGGCCTTAGACGCATCCAAATGAGCGAATATAAGAACGAAATGCCGGCGCAGCGAAAGCAAACTCCGTCCGCACGTCGGCGTATCAATGGAGGGCGAAATCCCTCGTGGAAATTGAATTTGCTTCCTCGTCCTGGTACAATGGCCCTTCGGCGGATCCCGCGTCTGTTCCGTTTTCCGCGGCGTCGGCTCTGCCGGTAATAAACGTTTCTTTGTATCCCAGGAAACCGGGGAGCGCGGCCCGTGTGTGTAATTGCCTTTAAATCATTACCTCGTCCACAAAGGAGAGCAATTTTCTGATAGGTACCCGGGACGAGCACCCGCGAGTACCTTCCGAAGACTCCTAAGGACTTTAGCACCTGTATATCAACCCGCCACTCGACTCGCTCTCCTCTGAAACCCTGATCCCCCAATGAGCGTAAATTCCGCCCTCGCTGCCACAAAAGACACTCCTCGTCGATGGCAAATTTTCGCAGTCTCTCGAACACCGAATTTAAATTTCAAAACCTCCCCTAAAAAAAAAAGTGGTATAAACACCTCTCGTAGGTGTATATTTTTTTAAAGTCCATTTCCTTGGGTTGCGAAGCTAGCTTCGACGTTTCCTTTCCAGGAACGGTCGGAATCAAATCTTAGGAACGACGGGAGATCTCGAGATTCATCTGAAAGGAGGCTGGATGAATTCAGAGCCTTCCACGCGCCTCGATAATTCTTCGACGAACGCGTAATGTCCTCTTTACGACACGACGCCGTAAATGGCCGATCTGCCAATGAGCGTAAAATCATCCCCGAGAGCCGACTCGGTTCTAGGGGGACTCCCGATAAATATCAATGGGGTGGAACGGGTGAGGGAGATGGTGCTCGTTGGATCTCATAAGGATTACTCGGAGGCTGCGGCTTTTGCCCGTTAATACTTTCCTCGGATTCTCCCAGGGCGCGGATTTCTCCTTTTGGCGCCGAGCTTAATTACCTGGTTATAGGTGCTTCAGACATTTTTTAAGGCCTTTTCGAAGTCTTTCACAGAGTCGCATCCCTCGGGAGATTACTCGAATTCCTGCTTACACCCTCGCCTCTCCGCCGCCGGAATATTAACGATCGCTGGAATGTCGGCATGGAATCGCGTTAACTGCGCTGTCAGTTACGACAGGACAGTGTGAGGACGTTAATTGTCATCGTTAATTAGCCCGACACATCGTCGGGGAATGTGCCTGTCGGCGGTGCGAAATTATTCTCGATATTCTTCCTCCCAGCGGTTTTACTTTGAGATTCGCTTTGAAGTCCGGTCTTCACCCTTTCGTTACAAATGGACGTAGGATAATGCATGGCGTCGTTCATCGGTACGTCACGGCGTGCAGAAGGAAACGTTAAGCAAGCGTCCCGGAAAAACTCGCGCCATTAAAAAATTAGCCGAAAGTGTTCGCCGTAAAGGCGAGAAAGGAAGAAATTAACGAGAGGAGGCGAGGAACGGGGGTGGCCGGAAGAGAAGCAAGCGAGAAAAATGGCCGGGCAGTTATCGAACAAAAGAGATCCGGATGGCAATTAAAAGGCGGCGCGGCGGCGCAAGATGCGCGAGATATATATCACGGAATAATTGAATCAATCGTGACAGGGCACAGCCTTTGCCCCGGGTGCTTTTATCGGCGAGGGGAAGCTGCTTTGGAGCCCGGAGGCAAGTAAATGCAAGTAACGAAGACGGATGAGCCGAGGGGTGAGCTTGCATTGTCGCGCATAGGTGTCCGTCTCGAAAGCGCACCGCGAAGGCCTTAATCTTTTCCACGTCATTTAGACTGACTCGAAACGTAGATCCAGGATATTCTTGGGGTTCGAGGACATTTTTTTTCCTCGAACCCCCCGAAACGCGCGACCAGAAGTGGAGCCGTAGCGACCCTTCGAGGGGGTTCCAGACATTTTTTTCCAGTAATAATTTTTATTACGACGACTTGTGCACGTCGCGTCCCTTTTTGCAGAGATATTGCGCAGGGCTGATACAGGGCGTCTTTCACCTCGAATGGTTTAAGTGGGGTCTGCAAGGGGCGCTTTTTATTTCGCCGTTTACAGGATATGGAACCGTCCACCGACGAGACCTTTGTCAAAAGACTGCCGGGGGATTCGCTCTTATCCAGTCAAGCGTTATTTTGTTTCATTGTGATGCCGCGGGAGAAAAATGCGACGATAAAGTTTCGCTCTCGCCAACTTCCTCTCGGTTACTTGTTCCTCTTTCACCCTGTTCACTCTCCTTTTCTCATCTGGCCCTTCTCCCCTCTGTCCCTCGCTTCCTCTTTCTCTGAACCACCCTCATTCCACTTGTCACGCCGTTAAGCTCCTTTCGTGCTACCCCTAAACTTGACAAATCGTCCCATTCTTGAGAGATTCCCGAGAGTGTCTCGCAAACAGAGAAATCTCATAGATGCGACTCCAATTGCTGCTCGGTGAAAAATATCCGGCTTTTTGACCCCGATTTTCAGATCCGGAGATTAAGCTCGAAACGACGAAAAAATGACCTGGAAGTCTTTGGATCCGCGTTATCTTTACGAGGCGGTCCATAATTGCGGAATCAAGAGAAATTAGCTTCTTACCTTAGAATGGGGACTTCATCCGATTGTTCTTGAAAATCTACGAAACTGTGGCGGGAATAGAAATGGTAACGAAGGTCCTGACATTTTTGGGATAGAAATTAGCGGAATCGGGTTCTTGGCTCGGAGGAACCGAATCAAGAAAATACGGTTACTTTAGTAAAGTACCGTTTATTATTCGTCGCTTCTTCTGCCCCCCTCTCTCTTTTTCTAATATTTATAATATATAATTTATATACAAATTGTGTACATTCTGTACATTCTGCAGTCTACGTCGGCGTGTAATCTGTACAGAAGCAGGAGCCCTCTCGTAGGCCTAAAGCTAACTAACTCGTGTCTATCGTTCATCTTGCTACCGAGGTAATCCGAGGCTTGACTATTTAGGTCTCGATTAATTCAACCATTAATTGACTAATTTGATTACCTCTCTGGTCCTGAAAGGCGAGTTCGCGCACGCTGCTAATCTTGACGTCCCCTCTTCGATTCTTTTACGTTTTGTCTCTCGATCTGTCTAATACCGATGAGTTCCGAATCGACTGCTTCGCAAAAAATGGTGTGCAATATCAGCTGGAAAGATTATCAATAATTCGGTACAAATTTATAGAAGACGGTCAAACCTGAATTGAAAAGACTACCGAACAGTTGTTCAAAAGTATCCGAAACGCTCCTAAAGTATGATTAACGATCGTCAGTCAGAAATCTTGACCCCTCTTTTACACCCTTAACCCTGCGTTAGTACGATGAGACATAACGAATAGTTTATGATCGGAAATCAACATTCGACGTGACAATTATACAGCCCCTGCAGATTCCCTACGTTAAATCTAGATTGCATCCAGGGAATCTATGCCACCGAGCGTCCCGGAGAAAAAATTGATTTATAATCGATACAGTATTGGAATGTATTTTCGAATAAGTTGAATATAAATCGACGGTTAAATTTGCCCGGTACATTCGTTTACCCGCGTGAAATCAGTTAATACAGTCATAAACGATCGATGTTAAACTTTGCGATTTTATGTACACGCGTATTCTTACAAGTACTTTACAAGCATATCACCGCGTCGTTACAGATATATTGTTCATCGGTATTAACGCAGGATTAGCACCACCTTATCAGCGTTTAGATCCTTAGAAAGGGATATGCTCGTTGGTCCATTATTACCTATTTCACACGTAGAGTCCATCGGAAGTGTTCTTGGTAAAAACGAAGACGCGTTGCCTAGGATGAGGAGAAGTATCGATAATCGAATGATAACGGTAGTATCGAGTATAAATGCATCGTCGACTACCGCCGAGCGTGCGCAAACTATTTCCTAGGATGAAGGATCTGGACAGGGACGGTCGCTTCAGGATCGGGGGTGGTTTCTTCACCTCGTTTAACGATCGGGCTATCGCGTGGAAAAATAGTTTTCACCGGCAGAAAAGTGGGAATTTAATTGTATATCAGGTGTACGCAGATAAGAATACGTCTAAGGGACCGGGAAAGCCCGACCGTCGGCGATGGAAAATCGCGAACGTCGCTACGCGCGTCGTTTTTCACGAATTAGGCTATTTAAAGTCACTTTGGCCCGAAGTTTTGCAGGCGAGACCATCTCGCATGGCTGAATCTTAAATGAAAACTATTCGGTAGAGGCGCGCTTGTCGTAAAAATGGAAAGCTTCCGCTAAGTGGCCATCGCCTTAGAAAAATTCCTACGGAGATCCCCGAAAGTTAGCGCGAAGCTCTTCACGAAGTCTCCTTCTGGCCTCCGAATGTTCTCCCTTATGAAAGACCGTAGAAAAAATACCGATATGTTACATTTCCGGTATGGGAGTAACTAAGGGCGGTATGGAAAATTTCTTTGATTTTCTTCCTTTTTTCCTAGAAATTAACATCTGAAAGTTCGACTACGTACCTGTACATCGCATAATTCGGTCGAAGGTCTGTTACATGACTAACGTCGGAAAACCGCTGCCGGCATCACCGCTTGTTGAAGGCAGCAGTTTTCCTTGGGTGAATGTAAATTTTACGTCGCTTATCCTGTCGTTATAGACAAGTTCAATAACCGTTGCGTTATTTTGTAAATCCTGTACGTTACTCCATTAGGAAATCACAGAACGCTCAAATTTCCCGGATACATTACACGGGAGATGTATTTTGCTGGGTTTGGAGCGGACGTAAAATCAATTGTAACCGGGTAGAGTTTCACGATTTCGAACCTTCGGGACTAAAGAGTTGATCGACGTTTTCACCCACGGAAGGTGTTACGAATCCACCGGCTGTGTGTACGTGCAACCGAAAACGTTAATGGGTTGATTCCACTGTAGGGCACAGACGATGTCAAACTATCGGTTTTGGGCTAGAATCGAGCCGGCCAAATAAGCGGCTGATTTGTATGTAAATTAGTTACTGGCAGTGCTACCGAAATGCTGGATCGCGGCATCACATCGAGGGCGATTAATTCTCTCGAGGGTATATCGAATATAAAAAAGACGATAATCAATGTAAAGGCATATCTTATGATTCTTGGACTCGTAACCTCGATAATCGGAATTAAAGATACTCGTGGACATCCCGGGTAGACTTTCGAATGTATCTTCATTTACCACCTCCTGATGGATGTCAATCTGTTTGCCGATGGCAGTGATTTTGCAACGATTCATTGATAAGATTTATAAATCGACCAGAAAGAGTAGAGCCGTTAGAGTTCCGAATCAACCGTATAGATTACATTTTTTCTCAACGAGTCGAACGACGCCCTCTGGTCCAATTCAAATACAGGAATCACCTAGAATCCCTTTCCACTTAGAATTAAGGTCCGACGTTCTCTACATGATAAGATGCTCCGAAATGGATACCCAAAATTGAAGCCCGTCTCCATCAATTCCGCAGCATGTGGAATTACCTCAAAGCGTCCAGGGGACTTCGATCGTCATTACGACATTTACACGATATAACCATTCCCTTCCTCCATCCTTGACTTTGGAGCTCAGAGGCGTCTTCAGAACGGAATGGAAGCTCCCACGTCCTCCCTCCGCCTGGCCTTCTCCGGTGCACAGGATCCAAGATACCGATAGAACTCGAAAGTCGAGCCCAGATGATTCATGGAGCTCTGGGTGCCGACGCTCCTTTTCCTGGTCCTGGCCGCCCTGTCGGCCTTGTTGGGCCATGTCCTATAAATCATGGTCCTGCCAGGGTGTGCAACGGGATTCCGACCCACCATGGACGACGACCGAACCGGAAGGTGGGAATGGACGAAGCATCCGCATTGCTGCCTTGCCGGACATCTTGCGACAGGTGCGGCAAATCCGCGAGGAGGTCTGAGGATCAGCTCCCGGTCGACGTAGGATTCCGTTTGCGCGGCCCTGCTGGACGTGGCCGTGCACGTGGATCAGGAAGAGGACACCTCGATGGTGGAGGTGGCCGAGGTGTCGTCGTCCAGGGAGCTCTGGGTGGCCACGCTGATGCGGCGGTCGCTGGAGTCGCTGCTCTGACGGGGATGGCGTCTCCTATACGGTTCCCAATCCCCAGCCGCCCTGCGTCAGTGGGTCGCAATGACGTCCGGGGCGCTTTTGGTGCTCTCTATGCTGAAGGGCCGCCTCTGGTCCACCTCGATAACGGCCTCGGCGCGATACCTGGTCTCCCCGGACGGGCACTTCGGGGTGGAGGAGTGTTGCGAGCCACTCGTCGCGTTGCTGGAGGTCCCATGGCCGGAGCCATAGATCGAGCTCCCATACCTCTCCCCGGAACCCATCGTGGTCTGTCGAGTGATTCTCGGCGACGCGAACCTTTCCCCGGTAGGTTTTGGGCTCTGAAACCTTTGGTAGCTCGGGTAGTCCGGAGGCTCCTCGTGGTACTCGCTCGGCAGAATCTGGGAGTAAGGCGGGTCGTGCGACGACCACCCTGGAGGAGCTGGGATGGGGTCATGCCTGGGACACGACCCCGTGCTGCCGTCTCGTCCTCTGGATGCCGGACTGCATCCCGAACACTGAGACCCCGGATGGGACTTTTGCAACCGCTGCTGGTGGGGCTGGGAACTCTGGCGAGAGCTCTTCTGGGATTGCCCTGGACTCGGTCCATTGCTTAGGGCCCCATTCTGGGTGGATCCGCTGCGGTATCCGAACGTGGTGAAGACGGGGACCGTCGTCGAATCCGAGGATCGAGTTTCGAACAAACTCTCTCTGGTCTGGCAAGAACTGTCCCTCATCTCCGGCTCCTCGCTCGACTCCTGGAGCCGCTCCTGCGTGGCGTTGCTCACGTTGTTGCTCTGGTGGATGTCGTGAATGTCCTTGGTCCCGTAGTTCATCTCCAGGACCAGGTCCTTGGTATACTCGTGGGCTATCCTGGTGCTGGGAGGCAGCAACTCCTTGCTGGGAACCACTTCCAGGCTCGGTGACTCGCTCGACCGATCGGCGATGTCGGTCCGCGATGTCGAAATTGGACACGGTGTTCCCTTACGTCCCAACTCGTCCAGTCGATTTTCTCGGGATTGTCTTATGTGCTCCTGTAACGTACGTCACATGTATTCCCGAAGAGAGCTTTGAAAGCGTTCGAACGCTTCAACGTCCGTCATTGTTATTTCGACATATTCGGGGAGCATAAAAAAAAACGTCGAGTCGCAAGACTGCAAAACGACTGCAGCTGGAGCTATCCGAATACAACTGTCCGCGATATCGAATCGTAAATCATGTCTCGCGATCGCGCGATTGCAAAAGCAAATTTCAGGCACGTCCGCGGAAACGAGAGGGGATGGCTGATGCCGCACGAATTGAAATTTGCGTAGAGTGGGGCCCATTGAAATTCCGAAAGTATTGAAACGATGCACCACGTGCATCACAGGTGCCATGCAGTTCGGCACCGATTTTCTCGTTTATTATAAATACGGACGATGCGTATCCGAAGTGTCGATTTCAATGTTCGTTAGGTGTCATTCGTTGGGCGACAACCGTGCAGTCGGTGACCGAGCATTTTTTTAATTTTTTATTAACGATTCTCAGGACGCGCCGGAATAGGGATCGCCGGTCTTTCGAGCGCGATAATGGAAACAATGCGTTAACCGCATCTGACTGTCTCTGATACCGGCGGGACTAACGATCTCTTCGGATGGATGCGAGGTAGGAATATTAATTCGTTAAGCTCGGCTCGTTACGTCCTGGGCGCTTAACGCGCGACTTACAAAGCGCCCGTTAATCCGACGATTTACTACGGTGAAAAGCCCCAATGGCGGCCCGAGAGAAGTCGCGAGGGAATGCAATTTTGGGGTTTATGTTACGTGCTTAAAGCCTCGAATAACTCGTGCTCTAAGAGCACTCTTTCGCTTATTAACTTTAGAGTTCCAGGAGAGCCGTAAGGCCGTCGGAAAACGAATCGTGCATTCAACGGTAATGTCAGGTCTCGTACGACTGTCTGGCGGGAGTACGGGGATGCTGAATATCCCCGAACATCTTCAAGATAGCCAAAAAAAAAAATAACCATATAATTTCCTACTCACCTGGATGATCCGATGATCACGCACGAGTTTTCGGACACAGTTGAACAAGAAGGCGAAGCACAATCCGAACAAGATCAAGGAGAAGACGACCAGGATGATGACGATGTGTTCGGAGTCGATCAATGATCCGTTCTTGCCCTGAAACACGCAAAAGTTACTTTGACTCGTTTAGCACGAAATAGCGGGATTACGGGCACATATCGTAAAGAAAATTAAATCGCTGGTGGATTATTCTTCGGCAGGGAATTTCTGAATAATCTTGGATCATCGCGTTTCCTTAAACGAAGAGAGTCTGGAGCGTTGGCGAAGAAATTTCGGTGCAGAAATTCCAGGAGCGAACTCTTGACGATCTGCATGCAGGGAGCCTGGCATCTCGTCCCGAATCAAGGAACCTGCGAATATCGGCACTATCATACCGCTTCATTAAGAAGGTTGACTCTCCTTCGAGCTGGCGAAGGGAGGGCCTCGGTGTCTTAATGAGGAGATGTTACCTAACTGCAGCATACTAATTATTCCGACGTCATCCTTTGCCTTCCTAAGCCACCACGAGGGCCGCACCTACTTCGGCAACTTCCCGAATGGCAGGTGGATTCGGAGTAGCGAGAATGGCTCGAGTAGAATGCACTCGGTTAGGTTTCTCTACCCTTTCCAACCCCGAGTCATAACTGCTGATTCCCATCCCTTGCACATCGCGCCGAAGTATCCGCCCCGAATTCGGGAACGTAACGTTGGAATTCCCCAAAGTTCTCCAGATTCCGGGACACCTCAATGTCTGCACCGCGCACCCTAGTTGCATTCATTTCCGCCTGAATCTTGGAATTTCCCCTTTTCGCGAGGAAGCATCGGGAAGAGTTTCCTCGTCGAAGAGTTCCAGAAGTAACGAGGAATTGCAGGGAACTCTCGACTTGGGAAAATTAGTAGCCACTATCGATGATCGGCTGTTCGAAGTTCCTCCCATAAACGCTCAATTTCACGACTGGGAGGCCGAGAATATTGGCACTATTGCGCCGTTTGATTAAGGAGGACGACTCCTCTGCGAATCGGCAAAGGGCGGGACTCGGCACCCTAATGAGGGAATGTCAACTGACTGCGGCATATTAATTATTACGACGTCATCTACTGTTCCTTCCTAACCCGGCGAAGGAGCGATATCTCCTCGGAGAACTTCTCTAATGACAATGGATTCGGGGAAGAGCGGGAATGGCCTGGCAAGCAATAGTCTGCCGAGCAATGGTCCAAGTAGAATGCAGTCGGCTGGGCTGTTCCACCCTTTCCATCCCCCGACCCATGTAACTGCCGATCCCGTCCCTGGCGTTACGAACCGGGATCGGGAATTCGCCCTCGGGACTCGGGGTGCAACAAGGAATTCAACCCGCGAATTCTCCCGAATTCCATGAATCTGGGGACACCGATCTTCCATTCGTCCCACTCGTCGGGGTGCACCTCGACGAATGCACTCCGATTCTCCTCGGGTTACAGATTCCTCTTCGCCTCTGGATCCATCTCCCGAATGTTCACCTACGATTAAATTTTTACGAATTAAAATCCCACGGAGATATTTTAACACAGCCCGCGTTCAACCTTTGCATCCTAAGTACAGCTCGAACCGGGACGGCGATGATCGAATCATCCGATGACAACCGAATTGCTCGATGCGACGTCGCGGAATAACGCCGCATGACCAATTAAATTGATCGGTCGATCGAATTGGGGGATATACCAACGTGAGAGGATCCATCTACCCGGCATGAAAGTAAAAGCGAATGGCCCGATTGTCGACTGCAATCATCGAGTGGCTCCCCTGCCCCTAGACCTTGTTAATCGCTTTAACACCGTCTGCACTAGAATTATACCAGATGAAAAGTGTATCGAGCAAAAGTCTCGCGATTTCGGTGGGTCGACGAGAATAAATTCGATGAATTTTTTTACACGGGGCGGTTTTTAGCTCCGATCACCCCCTGAGCTCCAAATCATCCACTTTTGCCGGGGAAGAAAAGCAGCCCTGAGGAACTGTTTCCTCTCGGACAATTGCAACGAGCTGCCTGCAAGAGCGCCCGGCGACAATCCGCAATGCTTGTCGCGTTTCCTCGATGCATTGTACGTCCAGAGAGAGATTGTTGCGAACCCTGTTAAGGTTTCGCACGCACGAGTCCAACAGCCTCGAGCAAAAGTCCTTTCGTTTCGGTGTCCATTAAATCCTCCATCGGCGCGGCACTATTAACCACCCTGCTTCCGCGTTACTTTCAATTACGGCCGCGAATGCCGATTAAAACCGAGGGTGAATTAATTGCGAGACAATTTCTTGAATTATCCTTTAAAGCGGAAGAGAACTCGGCGGGGGGAAAAAACGAAATGGCTCGGAAGGTCTTGCCGACGAAGCAGAGTTTCCTCGACCGTTCTTCCACTCGCGATTTAAATTTATCTCGCCTCCACTTCAGCGCATATTTTCGAGATATTACCGAAGAGGCGGACGACTGCCGTTTAGTGGATCCCGGAAGGATAATGCCGAATGAATCCGCCTAGCACCGAAATGACGACGATGCACCGTGCGTGCCAGACATGCACGCGACTGCTCTCGCGTGCAGAGATGAGCGGATCCAAGCCGATGGGATTTCTACGCGCTTTGTTCCCACCTTTCGCATTCGAGTTATACCGCTGACGCGATGCAATGGCATCTCTGACAAGACGCGTCTCTGTTGCATCCGTAACATGGATATTCATGGGCGTGGGGGAGGTCAGGGTAATATGAGCAACGGTGTTGCGCCCGATGCGCCCTGGTCTCTGGATCTCCGAGTGCAGCCGGCTCGAGATGGCGTCGTATTCCGGAATACGGCGCGAATCGATAGTTTTCGATTTCCCGCTAGTCCGGAAATTCGGTTTTCGAGTTTCGCGAGGTCTCGGCGCATGGTCCCCGAAACTTTTCTTGCTCTCCCTGGCGCGGCTTCTTTGTTCTCATTCGCCACCACAGCCAGGAGAGCCAAAGCTCGTTTCCCCGTAAACCTAATCCGCAGGAAAGGGTGTGAAATATTCACGAGCTATCACAGTGGAGCACCATTTCCATTATCCCATCGAGAATTCGACACCTTTGTACGGGGCTGCATGACGCGAATATTATGCCTTGGATACCCCCAATGGCACGGATGGCACGAGAATCACCTCGCGGTGATTTTCGCAATCTCGCTTTTCTAGACTGCTTGGACTTGTCGGCTCGATATAAATAGATTTACCTCCACCGGGAATATTTTAACTTCAAATCTGATCGATCGTTGCTCCGGAAACGGAGGTCGAATCTTGAAGGGACATCCCGGGGAAAAGAATCGCATTGGCTTCCGCGACGCCGGAGAATCGGAAGAGCGTTTCGAAACGAGCGGCATCGATCCGGACGAGCTCGTCCAGTGATCTCATTTCGCACATTGGAGGCTTCGTTACTTTTCCTCTCTGATTACGGGAAATGTAATTAGTAATCAGAGTCAGAATCCTAATAAAATGTGCCGGTCTGCAACGTGGCTGTAACGGTGCTTGAAAAGCGAGCGTACAGAGTTTACAGGGATCCTTGCTCGAGTTAGTAATGGTTCGTACAGGACTCGTCCAATGCTGGCTAGAAGTAGAAACCATTTTGGAAAATCGGAAAGTTATCCAACGATCACTTCGCGGTATTTGGACAGGGAGAATCCTCGACTCCGACTCCAACTCTCGGCTAAATGCACCTAAATTGGAATCCGAATTGAGAGTATGGTAATTGTGTGCCAAGTACACGAGAATTGTAGGATCGACTCTCTCCTGAGACTTGATCCAAGGCTCATGGTTGATGGAACAGATATTTCGGTTTACTATCTCGTTAGATTCAAATTTAATTTTTTAATAGTCGAATCCCGGGATACCTTAAAAATCTGCAAGGGTGAATACGCGTCTCGTGTGAATTTCGTTGTTTTCAGAGTAAAAACTAGGCACGTCCCCGTGTAATCGAGTTTGAAAACTCTGATTTAAGACATGGGTAATGCGAGGAATACAAACAAATGTTACGCGTCTAATATGCCGTAATGTAAGGAAAACTCGGGAAAGAAGAACAGCTTAAGTGGGAACTGGATAAAACGAGGGTAGGCTAAGGAAAGCTTTCGCAAACTTTGCTCTCAAAGTTTAAGGTTTTCTTTCCACGTTTTTATCCGCCATTTTCTTTCGCCGCTGCAGTAAAAAAATATGGAAACAGTAGAGCTTCCGCTAATGCCGTGAGGGATTCCGGGACTTTGCCGTATAATGAAATGGTCGATTCGAACCCGTTTAAGGGGTAATGGATTTTCGGAATTAATTTCCGACCCATGAAAATAGGCAAAATGTAGTCCGAGACGAATGCTATCGAACACAATGGCGGACATTATTCCCAGTCGAATTAATACCCCGTCGGAGCCATCGCATCGTTTGTTAGGTCGTTTTGGTACTTTGCCAGAAGTGCAGTATTGTGCATCCCGGAACCGGAAACACCTATCGGCCCAACAGACGGTCACCTTTAAATTTTCCCGAAGTGGGAGGGACTCGGAGTTTTCGAAAAAACCGACCCTCGAAATTTGCAGCATCCTCGTATCGCGAAACGAAACGGCTAGCAATACGGGGGTGACAATTGGCCTCCCATGGAACTGCATTTGGCTCTCGAGCTGGACCTTCTCTCTTTTTTTTTTTGACACTGGGGAATTAAAATGCGAGTCCCATAGACCGCGGATGAGTCAAACCCGACATGGGACTCTGGAATTTATGACGCGCTATAGATTTAAAATTTTGACCAACCACTCACCCCACATGTGTTCTCGTCCTCGTCCCACCGGAAGCGGCAGTTCACGTTGTGGTTGCATTTCAAATCGGCGTCTATGCAAGTCGTGTCCTCGCAATCGTACTCATCCTCGGCGCACACTGGACAAAAAACGAACACGATTTATTTCCGCAATGTCGTCCCGTTGTTTCACAGCGGTCCTTGCGGAATCCTAACGCGGTTGATCCTGATTTTCGGAAAGTCGAGATTTTCGATACGTTGGGTACCATCGATTGTCACTTGCAACAGGTGAAGCAATAAAATGTTACCGGTGAGTTTCTACCGTTTAGTGCAAATTGTCGTCAGAGCATGTCTCAGAGTTCAGGTTTACACTTCGCCTATTCGCATCGGGCGAAGCTATTCCGATGGCGAATTGTCGTTGGAGTTTGCAGTCCTACTTCGGGTGTAAGTTCTTCGTATCGCGATGACACTCTCCTTCTACTTTGACAGATAAGTGAACCTCGGTAACGGGAAAATTTAGAGCTATCGAATTTATCTGACTCCTTCTGTGTACCGACAGAGTTTCACCGAGATCTGAACTTCCGAGTCTGCAAGAGTCTCTTGTGAAGCAAGAACGTACATCTTCGTAAACGGTTTACAGAGGAAAGACCCGTGAAAGCTTCCATTCGCGTTTTAACAATTTTTGTTTAAAGGGAATTTCCTGTCAGCTCGGATTCTACAGGCTCATTAGACTGATTAGCGCTTTAAAAGGGGATAATTTTCATTGGGAAGATAATTTAACAAATTTTTCATTACAGTGAGTGCGCTTCCGGTTGCAGACCCGGTGTCGGAGCGAAACGTACGGAGTTGAGCCGTTTAAAATATTAGATCCGGGAAGTTATAGTCGAGGGAGGGCAGCGTAATATCGCCGTATGCATTTTCAAAACGTGCCTTGCAGATTCACTAGTCGCCTTGAATAAAATTTCAATGGCAATAAAAATCTTGTCCGAATCATTTCATCCACTTTTAAACTTTCTAATTCAGTATTTGCATAATTGCCCGGCCAGCGTGAACGTTGACGGCATGCCTGAAAATTAGGATATATTTTCAGCGGCGTAAAGCCAGGGAGTCATCCCCATTAAACGTTGATGCGTTACATGAAGATGTATAGGGCAAAAATGAAACCAGTCGTTTATATCGCCGGGATTTTCCGGATTTTTGGCACCCGAGGGTTTTGGAAAAAAAATCATCACGCGCCCAGGGAATTTCCCGACGTGTCCAAAGTACTTTCCCATATAAATGATAACGCCAAATTTGTCGAGTCTCTATGCAAATTTGCGAGAGGGCGCGTGACATGATTTCCGAGCCGATGCGTTCAATCTCTTCCGGGAACTTACTTTTCTCTCCTGAATCCTTCTCCCTAAAGGCGGTCATGAGAAATTCGAAGGTACTGTTCAAAGCTTTCGGCTGGGCATGGTACCTCACGTGCATGATGTTGGACTTGGTGACAACGGTATCGGCGATGCTTCCGCAAAAGCTCTTGATTCTCGAGGTCAAGTCGGTGCGTTCTCCGAAAACCTCGACCACGTTGGATTCGCACTCGTTCGGGATTTCCAGCTTGAAAACCACATAGGACAGCTGGATCTGGGGCAATCGAGAACGCTTTTATTAATCCTAGAATCCTGTGGTCGGAATAATTCTCTTGGAGGATATCGGAACTAACACATATTGGGTATTTAGTTAAACCGCCTGGTGGATATAGACGGCAGCCTATAACACGGAGTAAATTATCCACCACGGGAGAGTTCCCATTGTGGAAAGCCCTAAATACGCAGAATGCTTTGTGGGTTGGGAGTAAACTCCTTTCGGTGCAACCATTTCCATAAACGGTATTGGACGGTCATATATTACGGCGCGCGTTTCATATCGCCCAGTTATGCGGACTTAAACCATCCGCGATGTCATTTGACCGGGACTCGATTTGGAAATTTTCTGGGCGGTACATTTTTAAAAGCGATTTCCGCGGTTACACTCGACTACCTACCTTGACGCGCAGAATCAGAGACACGAGTTTCGTCCCGAAAATCGTTCGCACGTAAAATTGCAGGACTGATAGAATAATGGTGGCTGTTGATATCGTCGGCACGGACGAGCCGAACACTGCGGGAAATTCGATGATGGACGATCGCGCGGATGATGCATGTTCGTGCTGATAAATGTTCACGCGTGACAACGCGTGTTCGCGGGTGTTCGCGCGTGCGAGCCGGCCTCGGTCGGGGGGAAATTATTGGGAAAACGAGGATCACCTTCCATCCTGGTTTCACGGTGATGACCCAAATGCATTCGAGGAACACGCCGTCCTTCTCGGCCTGCTTCTTCCGGGCCTCGACGTCTTTACTCAAGATCTTCGATTCCACCCCGGTCACGTTGACGACGCACGGCTCCACTTCCGGTGGCACGCCGGCTGAGGATCAGACCTGTTACAATTCTGTACTTGCACCAGGATAGGTTCAATTAACGCTCCGTTGGAATTAGGAAAGCTCGCGCTCTATTAGCGACATCGGACCGTCACTTGATCCTTGCTCGAGTCCATGGCGCTTTCCCTTGCACTCGAGGAAGCAAGAAAGGAAATTCAATGCACGTTCTCGTGTTTGCATAATTTTTATTTCGAACCAATCGTCGCATAGACGTTTTAATCCTCTTTTATTGGGGTAATTCCAGTACGCGCTGTCAGGGAGGTTCCTCGGCTCGCGATTCGCTGCAACGATCCGACGTCGATGCACCGCGGCAGGAAAGGCACAACATGGATCGGCACCAGCGGAAGGCATCTCTGAAATTTCTCCTCTGACTTCCTTTCACTATTGCGAATTCTCTCCTCCGAGATATTTTCCCTCGGATCAAGTTCGCGGCACAAAGCGAAGTTAAGTACTCTGACTTGCCGCGGTAGCTAGGAATTTCATTTCGAGGCTATGTACTCGAGTTCCAGCTCGAGGTGCGTCAAGAGGAAAAATGCATTTGACGGGTGAATGCGTGTCACTTCGAGCGATGCATCTCCTAGAGGTCCTACCGAGTCGAAGTCGAAGACCTCCACCTTCGAGACCTCGGACGGTCTCGTTGCCAAGGACAACGCAACTCGCGTCTGCCTCGACCGAAACGTCACCGAGTAATTTCTTGACAAAGCACGAGGTTAATTTATCGATCGTGAAATTTCGAAGTGTGGACGAATCCAAGAGACCATGAATCTGGATCCCGAAGATCGTGCTCATCAACCCGAGGGTCAGCAACGGTACGCTTGCCTCGGGATCCATGAATTCTAATGCGTTTCACCTTAGATACCGAGTCCGATAGTCTACATGACATTTGATATTCCATTTACGTACGCGTCATGCAACTAGGGTGCATATTAACTCGTAGCCTAACACATAACCCGCATTTCCATATTAATGCACAGGATACATTGAATGCATACTCCTATCCAAGAAGAATATTTCTAACGTTTCTTCAATTTGTCGTACAACACCGGGAAGGCGATGCGATTAAAACCTACGAGGGAATTTCCTCCGATCGAATTTCCATTTTTAACTGCATCATGTTGTATCGTTTGTTCCCTGAATTCGTAACCAAACTGTAGACGCGGATTTTCCTCGTGGGTCCAGTGTCAGAATTAATGATCCGATGTGCAATTGGTATAACTCGTTGAGCATAATTTTATAATCTCGTTCGGGATAATTTACACTTTGATCGTTCCGCAGTGCTAGAGTGCAGGGAATTGTGTGTTAATTTCCACATGTTGCCAACCTAAAGCTCGAGCCGCGTTAATCGCGCGCATTACGCATGGGATACGTTTCACGGGGACCCGATTGTCCAAGTTAATCGGCTGTTACCCGGTATCGTTGAATGCGAACGAGGTTTCGATTTCTCCGGGTTTCGCATGTTTAGGAATCGCGAATACAAAAGCCGAAACCCCGCTCGAAGGCTAGCGACCGATACGGCACCGATCGTGCTCTGTATCTCAATCAACTCTGTATACGTCTGCTTCCGGAATAATTTATGAAACTATTCACCTGATGAAATTGACTGTGGCCGGTGGGATCAATTATGGCTGCGATGGGCGATTAAACTCGTGGTGAATTGTTAACCGAGAGCAAACTCCAACTTTGAAGATGCACGTACGGCATGTCGAGAATTGCAATTGTTGAATAAACATTTTTTAGGTGTTTATCAGTAGACCGCAAGGATCAAGTAACGGCGATTGAGTGGTTTGCTAATAGCGACATTGGAAAGATAGGAAAACTCGACTTACAGTCGGTTGGCCTCGGAATGGTGTTCCATATCGCCTTGAAGCCGCCATATTCGATGGTGTCGTCGCTGTGGAAACGAAGCCAAAGGAATCTGGAATTCGAGGTGAGCTCCCTGGGGAATCCGTTGCCGCAGAACATGCCGAGGGAATCGGAGTAGCCATGTTGGCCGTCTCGTACTTCAAGGTAGTCGTAGCACTCCTCTTTTCTTTCGTCCTTATAATCCTCCAGGTGAAAACGATCTCGAAAGTCCAGTTTCAGTAGCATTCCTCTCTCGGCTGAAATGAAATAGTAAAGGTAGCAAAGGGGATTTAAAAAAGGATGGGAGATTTCTCTCCCCCTTGTCAGGCGGTAGCGTTTGAGTAAATGTTTACCGCGCGACCTGTGTAATGTACTATTCGCATGTTGCGCAAATTTGCAGAAAAAACAAAAAAAAAAATGCTGGGGGAGGATAAGGTCCCTCGAAAATTCGAAAATACCCCCCAGGGACTACGTGAAAATAATCCACCGCTATCGGTTTGTGCATTTACAGCGGATTCTCCCGCATATGTAAACATCTAATGTACACTTCATATATATGAAATTGTTGCCCTGTTCCACGTGATATGTAAATCCATTACATGCCGGGAGATTGCGGTAGGACCGAGTACACGTAATACAAGCGGAAGAGTATTATGCGCGATAATCCCATTCGATTGGTTGGCATCGAGGTTGCATGTTGATAGCGTTAACGGGACTGAGAGAGATACCGCTCTTATTGCACCCTGGTATATGCATTTTTCAGTTGCATTCAATTAACGTACGTCAATAGCGATCTGATAGCAAATTTTAATAATATATATTCTGTTCCGACCGACCGTTTATGAGTAAAGTCAAAGCAAAAATGTTGCTCGCTATCGACGTGGCGTTATCGAGGATGCTTATCCGCAAAAACCCCCATATTCATTTTAATGAAATTCCGACGGTTTTCTTCGCAGGCCTCCAAGTACTCGGTACAACCACGATACGCTAGATTGCATTTTAAGATACCCTGAAATTAGGAAAGGAGCAATTGTTGGAGATAGATACAGAAGAAGACAAGCTGTCTGAAATGAATTTTGAGGTATCTCCGGAGGGGTTATCGAAACAACAAACGATACGTGTCTGAGTATCGTTAACGCATTAGTAGCGGACTTGTCGACGCGTTTATTGAGGGAACCTTGGCAACAATGAAGCTTTTGTATCAGCTTCGAATAGGAAATGTCGGTGATTCGCGAGGATCGATTTTCCGACTTGCCGGGAACACGTTCTCGAGTGCGTAAATCCGCGGACGAGCCGAGTAATGAGTCCATTGCGATGCAAACGCGGCTTCACTTTCGCCCCACGTACGCCGTTTATCCGGAAATTATTCGGTCCTGGCCGATCGTTAGGATTCACTTTATCTTCCGGTTCCGTCTCTCGAGGTCGTCTTCAGCTCCGTTCGGGTCCAGACTCCGTTTCCCTCCCGAACCCGCCGAGATGACTACCCCTCGAAAATGGACCCAGACTCGAGGACTCTCCTCCGGGCGCCTTCGGGAATTAACCTCTCTTAATTGAGACCGTCTTCAATTACGGCGAGTTTACGGCGACCCGGTTTCGATGAAATGTGAGACCATTCGGTTATTGTTAAATTGGCTGAATCGCGCCAATCTCTGACATCTCCGCGGTTTGCCAGATTCGCGATTCCTCCTCGCTTCTGGGATTTCGTCTCTATTAATGAGCTCGTAAATTCTCCACGTTTCGCAGAAGTATTTCGTCGGTGCATTTTGTGTCGGTGGATGGGGAAAAAAAAAAATTGAGGACGATTTGCAGTACATCGAGTACCCTCGGTTCTTTTCCACGCTGCATGGGAAAGAGGTCGCACTTAGTTAAATTAGATTTTCGAGTTATTGATATTCGATTTTAGGTGCAGTTAATAGAAATCCACTCGAACACGTTTTCCTGCCCGACCGAGAACATTCGCACGTGTACGTTTCGTTTCCTCTCGACCGATATTTACCAATTCCGGGGAGATATCGAGTCGGAGAAACCGGAAAAGGAGTAATATCGAGACAGAGATACCTTCTTCGGGTCCCGAGGGCTCTACTTGCCTTAATTGAGAAAATCTTGAGAGACCGGATGATGTCGGTTCCGGAACTGGAAGGTCCGCTTCTCGCCGTCTCTATTGTCAAGGATCATTAGCGGATCGGTCCTGCATTGAGAAACACTGGCAATTCTTCCGCGGATTGAACCTCGGGGATTTTCTTTTCTTCTAATTGGACGGCTCAAAAGGAAACGAGGAAACTTCTCTTTTGGCTCTGTATGCTCGTGGTTCGCGTTTCTATTTTTTATTCACTTTGATTCGTCGAGTTCGCAGACGGAAGACAAAGATACCCGGGAGCGAAAATTCGAGGTAAAAGGAGAGCATCGTCACCCCGTAAACCTCCTTATTTTTACTGACTGAAGGGAACATTCCGCAATTGCAAGATGGTTTCCAGGAGGTATTACGAGGTGCACAGGTGTCACAGACTAGGAGAGAACATTCGATATTTTCGCACTTCCCGTGTACGTGCCATCGAATAAAAGGAAGTAGAAAGAGCGAGCATACGTCGTACGAATGTAGACGAGAGGAGAGGCAACGAGGCAGGAATTTCAAGCGAGACTTCCTTCGGAAAGAATTCTTTCGGTCTAAATCCCTTTACATGCCGCGAATATTTATTTAAAGGCTCCATCCTGCTTCTTCTCATACAGTTTTATAATTTTTCTCCAAAGGATTTCCTCAAAAAAATATTTATCAAGCGCGATCGTCGAATCTCTTCTCGTAACGAAGTCCTTCGTGAAATCGTAGAAAAGTTAATCTCGATAAATCACTTTTTTCTTTTTTTTTAAAGTCGTGAAAGGAACAATTTCTGGAACAAGTTCCGTCAGGATGGTGTAAAGGCTAAAGTGGTTTTACATAATGCATCGACGATGGTAATAAAAGAAGTGGAGCGATCGCATGTACCAGCCAGGATCGGGAGAGGGTCTAAACCTGCGGGCAGGATAAAAAAGAAAACTCATCCTATTTCCTGTTCCATCACACTTCGCCTAAATCCTCGAGCCCCTTGAAGTATACTTCCTTCCTCCCTCAAGATTCGCCCGAGACTCGCAGGTCCTTCTGCTCCTTTCCGTAGATCCTTGCAAGAGTGATGAGTGGAATTTACCTCGCTCCCGTAAAACCTTGAGGAATATCCCGAGGTAGGTTGGGCCGGCCAGGGAATTCCGGATGTTACTTCAAGGTTGGTACACCAGCCCTTAAGCTTCCTTCCGGGCCGTCTTTCTTCAAGATTTACATACTTCCGGACTTCCGCGTTTTTCGGTCCGTTCGGGAGAGAGCCATCTTTAAACGTCCCCTTTAAGGCCGAAGGGATTCAAAAATACGTTCCTTCTCGAAATTCTCCCTTACCATCCGATGTCTTACCGCACGATCTACCCACCGTTTTCAACAATTCACCGTTTATTTAAAACTTCAGTAAAATTTAATAACCCTCGGTCGCACTTCTTTTTCCGGGATTTTCCGAGGGAACTTTTAACGGTTCGGATTCGACTCCCGGCGATGAGATTTCATGGATTTCCTCGCCTGTTACGCCTGGCTCAGCGTTATGGAAAAGTCGAAGGGCTCCGGTGGGAAAAGTAGTCGTTACGAAAGAGCCACGTAGTATTCCTGGCTGGATACTTTGCGGGGCTGGAGGAGATAATTCGGAGTAACAGCAGCCCCGTAGAATCGAAACGTCCCCAGATATTTTCTTTAAAGACCCCTTCCCCCCTTGTTTCTTGCCCCGGAATTTTGTCAAGCCCGGTCTCGGAAATTTGGCCTTTTCTTGAAATTTGTCCAAGTCGATGGTATCCGAGTCGGTAAACATCGATTAAGTTCTTCATCTCGAAGTGTCGAAAATGCAAAGCGACCAAAGCGGTTCTCTCTCAATGGCATTAACTGCTCTTATTTGATGGGCTTCTGCTTCCTGAGTGGTCTGATAACTTGATTTGCTCGTCGCTTTGGAACTTGGCCATGCTATCCCTCCTGCAGGCTCCTTCCGCCTTTCAGTGACCATCGTGTTCTCGAAGTGGCTCTTAAAAATCACTGTTCGTCCTCTCGGACATCCGAGGAGACTTGGAGGGTTCGAATCTAAGGCGATGTAATGAAGCACACTCTTCGAGTTCTTCGGGGCGATTGGAACCTCGCGGTTAATGTATCGATCATAGTCCGGGGTCTCCTAGCCCAGTTCCCCTGAATTTCGAGAGCGAGGAAAATGGGCGACAAGGGGAGAGGGCCCCTTGACGGAGGAATAATTAAAAAACAGAGGCATCTCATCGGTCTCGGCTTTTCGGGGCAACGAGGCGCACCCGTTTAATGAATTCTCCCTCGAAAGAGGGAGAACTCCTTTCTTACTTCCTCCACGGCATCGCTTATAACTAGTTTGAGTCCCCGCTTGGCGAAATCACACACGTCGTAATGACTGAGGTCTCATTACCGAGGCCGAAGTCAGTAAAATGGTTAACGACGTCATGCGACATGGTTCCCCCAACTTCACCCTGACTCGCGTTAATTTCATTATTTCGCGGGTTATCTTTTTCATCCGCAACTGCAAAGTTAAATCCCCGTTTGAAGTTTCATGCCGCGTTTTTAACCCGGCACTGTCATTAGAACGAAGGCGAGTACAGATAATCCTAACGGCGGAAGTTTGGCAACTAAAGTCGTGGAAGGCTCGCGGTAACTAAAAGCTAGCAGTGAAAGCCCACGGCAATAAAAGCTTACAGGGATAGAAACTTGCACCGACAGAATCTAGCAACGTAAAAGCCCATAGTGACAAAAGCTCGGGACGATAAAAGTTCTCCGCGACAGAGATTCCCGAAGACAGAAGACCGCGGCGAAAAGAATAGGTGGGAAGCTCTCTGAGTCCATCGGTTAAGTCAAATTTTGGGGTAGTCCGGTTTTCGGATTTTTTTTTTTCATTATTCATTTTAAATTACGTTGATCTCCGACCCTCCGACATGTATATGGGGTGTTGAGAAGTCGTTAGGGCCATAAAACAACCCCGAGGAGCCCCAAATAGTTTCCAGGGTTGCGTCTCTCTTCACGGTCCCATCGTTCCTTCGAAAACTCGCAGGAAGTTGGCCAGGACTTCCTGCGACACTGTCCTTCGCGAGCCCTCCGGCAATTTCCCGGACACTTGAGGCCAACTTCCTGCGTGGAAAGGACGCGGATATTTCGCCGGCCGACGTCACTTCCGGCCCTGTAAATTCGAGGGAATTTCGCGAAACGAGGGAACCGGAGCACGCGAGGTTTCGCGGCTTGGAAACTCCCCGCGCTATCTTTAATTCCGATTTTCATCAAACGCCTCTTTTAAATGAATTCTTATTTCGGTAATTTCCGGAACTTTCCGGCTTAGAGCTTGGAACTTTAAGTAAAACCGGGATTATGTCCGGAAGAGACTCGGCCCGGTGTGTCTCTCTATTCGACATCATCCGTCGCCTCGGGGAACTTTCGACGAGATTCCCCTGACTCCCGGTGACGTCCTGGACGACGTGAGAAAATTTCGCCTCCGAGGGGGGAAAGGATAAGGAAAATTGAATCATCCGTCAAGGATGACTCGCTGAAGGAATCACTTACTGCCACCCTCCCTCTCTCTCTCTCTCTACTACTTTGCATTTCGGTGGATCGGATCGATGCACGAGTCCGGTGCCGAATAGCGGCCTTGTTTTCGCTCGAAGCGGGAACCAATTTAGCGGAAGCGGAATATGATGGGTCGGCCATACGGCTCCTAATGCTCGATCCTAATTCCCGCGGTATCTGCATTGGCCAGCCAGTCAGGTTTGGCTCCTCCTTTTTGCCGAATGGTCAGTCGTCGGCCGACTTTGGCCTCGCGGTGACGCGGAATCGAACGGCCGTCGATCAAAGCTCCGAGCTTTCCCCGGGCTATTAGATTCCGATCAAAGTAGCCGTCGGTCCTGACCATCCAGCATCGATTCCAGGAGTGGCGTGTATGCGATTAATGCCAGGACTCAGATTGGCCGAGTAATGGGTAAGCAAACATTCCGATCCGTTTGTCAACCGGCACTGAGCTACGCCATTTTGGCGAACCGGCAAGGACCGCCAGTTAAACGCTTTGAAGGATTCCGGGACTCTTTCACGAACTTGGTTTGCGATGCGTTCTTTCGGGATTCCTCCGGATTTCGCGTTCGATTAGAATTGACTTGATTCTCCCTTAAGACCTGCCTCTCGTTTCAGATAATTAGACCTCGGAGGTAATCCTCGCAGAAGGTCCAAAATAAATAATTTTCCTTTTTAAATTCTCGGGATGTTTTTAGGAAATAAATACGCGGGTAACTCCGGGTACCCTGGGCTTCCCCACGTGATGTAATTCAATTTCTTCCTACTTGCCGCTCAGGGGATGTCAGACATTGAAAATCTTACGTCCTGGGGGAACATGTAACTTCGTACCCTTCTTCTCCTCGGTTCACTTTAGGAATCCCAAGAAGGTTGGCCCGACTATTTCGTTCACCTAGGTGGTCTGTCGAGTACATTCTTCCCCTCAATTCGTAATTCCTATGTACCACCTGTTAATATTCCATCGAATCTCAGCAGCTCGAGCACTGAATTTTTCGCCTGCAATTTTAATCGCCTTAATAATTGTTTCACCGATTCCTAAGTACCGTTTCCTCTTCGTACCCCTATTTTCCTTCTGGTTTAAAATTGCGCCGGTTTTCGATGCTTTTACGAAATCGCTGGTATTTCTCGGAGGAGGTCTCGACGTGACGTACCTTCCCGTTCCGTACGCGAGGTCGCGAAGAAATTTCGCGGATTCTCGGCACGCTTCCGTAGCAGCAGCAACGGATTGCTCGGTGATCTCTCGTAAATAAAACCCAGCGTGCTCGGTACGAGAAAATAATTCATGGCAATGCTCGGCCGCACCCGAATGGCGCCGTAATTCAAAAATTCCGCTTCGGAAGGGGGTGAAAGTATTCTCTGCCGCAGGTGCCGAAGGCGAAAGTGGAGTCGGCGATTATATACTCCAACAAGAAGGGGAACAAATCGCGCCTGGGGAAAATCGAGTAGAGGATTTATTTCTTAATCCCGGCGGGGGATTTCTCACCCCGAAGTTCGGATCCGCGGGGAATTTCCTGAAATAATCACGTAAACTTTTGCACTCCCGCAAGGGCTCGTCCTTGGAATTTGCATCTTGTATTCCTCAGGCGTTTTCCCTCGGACGTGGAAATTTCTAAACAGGCCGCGGTGGTTACTTCGTTATGTATACTCGAGGCGTAATCCTTTGAAGGTAGGAGCTCGAGAGGAGATGAAAAGTGCTAGTGAAATTTCCTCGAGTGCTCGTGACAGAGGGAATGGAAGGGAGAAGAAATGAGCGGCGAAGACGGTGTGGGAGGGAAGAAGGAAATTGCCATCAAGAATTAATTGAGGACATTGCCGAAGAGGCGAAGAAAAGGCCGCCTCTTCGACCGCCCTTTTTCCGCGGTCGAGGATTCAGTGTTTAGAATTTCAAGATCGATGGTACTCCGATGGAATCATTTTGTGGAGGAAAGTGTCAGGCATCGACTCTACAAAGGCAGGTGCAAGGTGGCAAACTGGCTTTATCGGGCCTACTCGTTAGTCACCGGTAAGCATAACAGGCGCCATTGCTTCCCGAAGGTGATTACGGTGTATTAAGCCCACCTTGTAAATTACGTCAACTAATTATCTGCGACGGCACCGTGCCGGGGCCAGGGATTAAGGAAGTTTCGCCCTGTGGATCCGCATTGCCGATATTGCCATGAGAGCCTCGACTTCGATTATCGACCAGCAGCTCGAATTCTTCCTCCCCTGAAAAATTGCTCGGCAAGTCGAAAATCCAAATGGAAAGCTTCCTTTATTAAATCCCGACCGCGTTCCTAGAGACGGAAGAAACTGATCGAGAAAAATGAGCGCATCTTTAATTAAGATTTATGGACGGGGGGACTAAAAGAGAATAACGATCGGAAGTAACGGCGGAAAAGTTCGGATTTCATGTTCCGAGGAAAGCTTCGTTTAACGAGGACTTTCTCGGCGGCAAGTCCAAGGACTTGCAGCACGAAAATGGCCGCAATGACTCGCGCTGTCATCGCGACACCTCACGTGCCGTGTAAGTGCGATCTTAACGAGTGTTTGCAAACCCGGGTAAGGTCGAAAAATTAACATCCCGAAGTGAAGCTCCTCGAGCCCGTAATCGTTAAACGAACTGAATTCGAAACGAGCAGTTAAAGAGGTTAACGAGTACCGTAAAACGGGCGTATTGTAGACCGGCACCCCGTTGCACCAGGTAATTGCAGCCGCGGAACTTGTTACGCGGTAGCTAGTCGTCAATGTTTACCAAGTAAACGGGTCGTGGGCTCGAAATATGAGAGATCACTTTTGCTCGGTCGATCAAAGAGTGCATCCGCGCGTTGCAGCTATGATAATTGCATCCCTTTGGAGCCGGTGGGCGTTCACCGATGGAGGCCAGAGATCCGACGAAAAGTGGACTCATTTCGTTCCTATATACAGGTAAAATCGGCTTAGAGAGGGGAACCAAACGCGTAATACATGCTAGGAATAACACATCGAGTGGAATATCAAATAGCGCGTTTTAGCTCTAGGACATCATGTATATACAGAATATTCCAGTCCGAGATTAAATCTCTTTAACGGCCGGCCTTTTTTTCCTCCGCGCGTTGCCACCGAAAACATTGCTTTGGTCATCCAATCGAACGCTTACATTGGTCGAGAGCCGGCCTAACAGAAAGTGGCGGCTTTTTGCTTCTCTCTCCGTGAAAGAGTACCCTCTCGTGTCGGCATATCGATTCGTTATCGAGACATCGGGCTCGGTGACAACGAAACGGGGTTTCCCGCCAGGAAGAATGACGGGAAAGCCAAATGATTTATGACTTCGCCCGGCATTGGCCACTTTTTTACCAATTTTTTACACAGATACTCCGCGCCACTGTCGGCCCCCATTGTGACCCAGTGAACATCGAGAGCGAATGAAATTCCTGCCTGCGGAATATGCACCTCGAGATAAATGATGCGCCGATGTTGTCGTTGGTTCATCGAGGGGGAAGTTCGCTTTCGACACGGGCGCCGTTACTTACTAACGAGGAGATTTCTATCCAGGAAAACGAACTCACCCTTCAGCACTCTGACGCAGTCCACGTTGCTGGGATAATTGTCGGGATAGTTCGGACTGTAGAACTCCCTCTTGGCCTCGTCGCCGATTTTGAACTTATCGCAGACGTCGTCGGCGTCTCTCATGTGGCGTCGAGGGACGATCGCGTTGGTCGTGGCCGAGGTTACGTTGACAACCCCATAAGTGGTTACGGGAAAGGACACTTCGGTTGTTGCCGCGGATGGGATCATCTGAAAGTCGAGGAAGCGTCAGCCGTTCGTTAAAATCCAGAACGTTGAGAGAATTAATTTCCCATCCGCAATTATCCGGGCGCGATAAACACGATAAACTTCGTCGTATCAACTCACGACCGTAATTAACGCACCGCCAGCACCGGGGCGTTGTTTTAATTTAACGGAGGATTCAATAACGCGAGCTTAACGCTCCCATACACGGCTAGTACTCGTTAACAGTACTTCTTTGTGGCCAATATTTCTTTACGGGCCGATCGTTAAGAAGATGAATCATAGGCGTATCACGATAGGCCCTTTTCATGCCGCAATCACGAGTCGGCGATTTAAAACGAACCTTCCCGCGGGTATTTGCCAGTTTATCTCCCGTATTCGCGGATCGGCCGAGCGATATATTTAAAGCCCGATATCGATACCGACCGATAGCCGATAGAGCGTTTAATACGCTCCCCAATTTATTAGCCCGCTGGAGCCATCACGATATAGACGAGCCTTACAATTTCATAAAGTCACGGGGGATATTCCCAACACGGAATAATCCATTCTCAAATATCAATCCCCCGACTCCAAAGGACCACATAATCCATGAAAAGGTTATACATTAATGCAGACATAACTCACATTAAATGTTGAAGAGGTGGGAGGCCCTCTCGTGGTGGCGAGCTCGGTCCACGATGGATCAGAGGTGGATCCAAGAATGGGTCGACCGGATCCATCCGCGATCGATTTCTTCGCCATCGATGGTCCTCCCGCGAGGTCGGTGGCTCCTGATCGGTTTTCGATCGATCCAGGAGAAAGTGATTCGAGCGATCGATCTGTGATCTTTCCTCCAAGGGAAAAGGATAATTTTCTTTCGGAGGAAAAACCCGGTTCCGACTGGTCGGGAATCGATCCAGGAGAAAGTCGTCTCGCCAGCGGAGGTCGTCGCGTCCGGGCGGCGCCGGGCCGCGATTGGTCCTGGGTCGATCCAAGGGAAAGTCGTTCGCCCGCGGGAAATGGCTTTTCCACGAGGAGGTCCACGGGGCGCGGAAGGGCATACCGCGTCGTCCGCGCGAAGAGATCAATTTTTACGACTTCCTCCGTCCCGATAGCACTCCTGCTTCCGGTCGCGCTCGCTACTTCCGTCCCGTCGAGGGGGGTCGGCGTCCCGATTACGGGAGTGCCCGGGAACAGTCGGGGGCCAGACCTCGCGGTGGACCCCTCGGAACCAGTGGCGCGCGGCGCCCGGGGCGTCGCGACGCGTGCCGGCCGGCCAGTCCCGTGTGCACCCTCTGCGGATCCTGCGGTGGCGCCGGAAGCTGCAACAGCAAAACAAAATAAGCTCTAATTTACCGCTCAATTTATCCCACGAACAAAGTCGGACTCAAAAACGAGCCATGGCTGATTCGAGTCGTCCATGGACCATAATTTGCGCGACGACAAATTGTTGTAATATAATTAACCGAAAAGGGGCTTTGCGCGCTGCCGGTATCAAAGGCACCCCCGGTGCGCGAAAGACAACCGTACTTTGGGACGTGGAATTTCGCACTCCGCGAGCCGCGGTTCCAATTAACCCGGGCCCTTCTCCGATCCTTTTTGAAATATTTAACGAGCTGCCAGCCCTCAAAATGTTCGGATCCACATCGGGGCAAAATCCCAACTGGCGCCCTCCTAGCGAGACGCGGAGTCGCTTCCCCTCTTAGGCACGTCCAATTAGGAGTCTACTTTAATTTATCCTCCTCCGCCAACCGCGTTCGATGAAACCATTAATTATGTTCGTTAAATAATGCGCCAGGGGATCCTCCGAAAGGTTAATCAGTCATGAACCACGCTCGATTTTCCCAGCGCACGGGGAAATGATTCTCCGGTAAAGATTCGTATTTTCGACGCGACGACGATTCTTTTCGTGGCATCGTGGAGTGTCAATTTGCCAGACGATGATTTCGCGTCCTTTCCGTGATATTAAATGATTATTAACCCTTAGCGCTCCGCAAGTTTCGTAACGTTATGGCGAATGTTCCCGTGGCGGAGCCAACGGAGTGCTGAAGGTTAATTCTGCTGGACCTGCTGGAGGGATTTATATTCCGTCGGGGTGGAACGACGTTATCGACGCTTAACGCCTTTAAATGGCAATGATTTAACGACTGCAAATCGATTTGGGTGAGTTAACGCTACAAAATGAACTTCCATGCCAACGCATTGGATTTATTTCCATTAGTAGGTGGATGGATTCGCGAAAAAGGAACGCATTTTATGAAGCGCCGAACGAAATTGGTGGGAAGCTTCGACTCGATATGGTTCGCGAACCAGTTTATTGGGAATTTCGGATTCCCTTGCAGGCAATTCTGCAATCCCAATTTTTTCCAAAAAAAAAAAACGTTTTTCGCCTGTAGGGATCGTTTTCTCTGGACAGAGGTTAAAGTTCGCTCTTTGCTTTTTGTCGGCATCATGAAGTTACGCCCAACAGTTGCGTTAAAGAATGCGCTTCGTCGTCCATAGTGAAACGTAGAAAAATAACGAATTCCGGTAATTATCCGTGTCCAGGATTTTCCTCCGTGTACGGGTCAGCTCGTTCGGGTTGAGGTCCTCGGGAATCCTGGAACAGGAAGGGCTCCAGGAATCTAAATCCCGACCACCGAATAAATCAGTTGCGCTCACATGTGCACCAGAATTGCGTCTACAAATTCATGTTCGCTACACACGGTGGACGCCCCGATTCTCTTCCATCTTCATTCCGGCCTTTTTCCTTCATTCCTCTTTCCGTAACCCTCCCGGGAACATGACTGATTTTCAAGATCCCATGAACTTCAGGGAACCCTCGAGTGCCCCCCCTAATGGTGCCAATATTTCTCCCCCTTTCCTTTTTCGTCTAATTGGACCTTGAATAAGGAAAATTGGAACCCCGGATCTACTAATGGACCCTGGAGTCCGAATCCTAAACCGCCTCGTAAATCACATGCGCCCACGTGTGCAACTGATTTGCATCCTCCCGTTCAGGTGAGGTGCACATGGTGGAGGCGATTTCCCCCGGATCGAGGTAGCAGCAACTTAAAGGGAATTATAATTACAGGGATTTAGAGTAAAATTATTCCACCGATAATTCCCGCTGAGATCACCCCGGAAGTTTATTCCGGAAAATTTCCATGTTCCAAAGAATTTCCTCCGAAACAATGGAGGCACATTCGGGTGATCTTTGCTCGGCGTGATAAAGGAACGGGCTTTCAGCGCCATTATTCATCGATCAAATACTGCAGCCCGTGTAAGTTTCATTCATTTCTGGGTTGTTTCATTTTCCTCAGCCTTCTTTCTACCTCGTTAGGGAGGCGACCGAAGCCGAAGTAACCGAGCAAGGATATTCACTCTCCTCGGAAGTCGGTCCATCAACTCCTGGGAGAATAATTTCTCCGCCAGCTGTCTGAAGACTCCGCTTCCGAATCATCCCAGATTCGGTAAATGATTCCCAGGAGAGATCCAGGGTCGGAGTGCCGGTTCGGTTCAGTTCCATCGAACCAGGTGACGTCTTCCTTTCGAAGGAACCGGACGTTGGTGACATGGACACGTGCAACGTGAAACGATTTGACGGCTTAGGATTCTCGATACGTCGGCGAACCGTTCGATATACGTCTGGCAGACAAGGTTGGGGTCGCTCCCCCGTCTCGAAACTTGGTCCATCGTTTCCTGGGAGAGTGATTCCTCTCGCAGATGTCCTCGATTCCGATGCACTCGTAATACTACTCCCCGAGAGCCGAGTTGTCCGAAAACCGGAGCGCGTTCGACAAGCGTCGCGACTCAGACGTCCCTAACTTCGGTAAAGGACTCAAACGAAAGTGAGGGACTTTCTGCAGATGGATAGGAATCCGAGGAATCTCCCTGAGAAGGGCTCGACGAGCTCGGAATGGCGAATGGATGCACATCCATCGTGCACTCGGCTCTAAGGGAGGAGAAATCTATCGCGGAAAGCAGAGGTTCGGCCGACTCTACCGGGACTTGCTCCACTTGCAGAAGACGGTGCGCGTCGCTTTCATACCTCTGTCGCTCCTCTAAGGGATGAAAGATGGGCTCGAAGTCATCGAGAATCGGGCACTCGTTCGGCGAATCGTTTAGGGACTGGGGAAAAGGCAGATCGTAGATATTCCTTCGAGAGGGAAAATCGAGAAATATTTCCTCCGCGATTCGCGGGAGACAGACAGGAGGAATCGCGAGAAAATCTCCCGGGGAAAAGTCGCCGCAAATATCGGACGTCGAACGCCAGAAGTCCTTTCAATTTGTCAGGATGAACCGGCTCAGAGGCCGATACAAAGGCAATTTGCAATATTTACGCGATATTGTACCCAATGTGGAAAGAATAAATTTGCAAAATGTCGAAGGTGAGACGTCTTGCTGGATTCTCATGGCTGATCCTTGCAGGGTGCATTCTTACGCGAGTTACCGGGCGAGACGCCGGGTATGGTATACTTATTTTTCTCGCACCGAGTATTCTCGTTTCTGCAAATAGAGCGGAGAAGGATGAGTCCCCGTTGGGGTATGATTCGCCGAAGGTACGAGAAGCATCGAATTCCGGCTGGATGGATCGGTATCGATATATGTAGATTTCATCCGGAGAGATTACCTTGGGCGGACTCGAGCCCAAGTCAGAAATTTGCAGGCTGATAATCTCTGCGAACAAAGTTATCGAAGTTGGCTTTACGGTCATTACGGGGGCGCGGTAAAATTATTGGAGCCGATAAAGCTCCTTTCGCATTGCGCACCCCAGACGCCGGGGAACCGGCTATAAATCGAAGATGGCTCCTCGTACCCGTCGTAAAGCTCTGCTCATAAACAAAAAACTTCTCTATTTAGCCCGCGATTTATGGCGTCACATTTGAAGTAGCCCCCTATGTTAATGAGCGTTC